TGTATAGTCACAACCAAAGAAAATGGATGCCTAATTGAAATCTATAATGGGCAACTAACTTTTGTAATTGAATACATGTAATTAAATACATTTGGGAGAGAGAGAGAGAGACTGAGAGGGGGACGGTGAAGGGGGGTCCACGACGGTGTGAGAGAGACACAGGGAGGGGAACAGTGAAGGGGGGGTGGTGTGCTCTTCTCTAATATGTGAAAATGCAGGGTAGAATGAGATAGAGAGACATATAGGGAAGCTGAAGAGGTGGGGCTGTGAATTTGCAAGAGACAAAGAGAGAGAAAAAAGGGAGAGAAAGTAGGAGAGAGGGAGAGGGTGTAACGGCTAAGAAGTAAATCCCAGGCAATGAATTTGAAAAAGGAAATTGGGAGAAAAAGATAGAGACATGGAGAAGGAAGATGAAGAGAAGCGGCTGTTAATTTGCAGGAGAGAGAGAAAAAAAAGGAGAGAAAGTAGGAGGGAGGGAGAAAGTGTAACGACTATGTGAATGTGATAGAGAAAATAGGGAGAGAAAGAGAAAAGAAAGAAAGAAAATAGGAACAGAGTGATATAGGAATAGAGGGAGACAGGTTTGGGAAGCAGAGGATATGGATGAAAGTAAAATATTTTTCACATATGCTGACTTTTTAAAGTAGTATAGATGTATTAGTTACCTAAAAAAACAGATTTTTATGTTTTTTGTGTGAGTACATGCGAGAACAGTGGGCTGTGCTGAAGCTGAATCTATGTTTGTCCATCACAAAAATGGTTCTCAGCCCTATCTTTCAATTTACAACTAGAGTACTTTGGTACAATATTCATAATATAATATTCTGACAGACTTCTGGTGTAATGCTTGGGTGTGCTCTAAGATGAAACAAGGATGGAAAAACATGTATTTAGGTGGTGAGGAAATTTATATCACCTGTGATCTACAGCATGGGACATAGTTAGAGCCGAATGGCGGACAATAATCTTGTGCAGCTCAGTTCATGGTTTTATTTTGTGGACCTAGTTCAGTCACTTGTGTAATTATGCAGTAATGTTGAGTTGGCAATCAATGGAAATAATTGAGCCGATCACTTGCAAAAAGACCATGAGATCATCAGTGAGAAGTCGGAGCATTGGTTTATGAAGTACCAAGTTAGGAAATTTCATTTGATAAATGAAAAAGATTATGTAACTGGTTCACCAACAAGAGCCTCTTCACAGTATTTGAATAAACTGTGTCTGTACTAGTATGCTTTTGCAAGAAAAATTGTGTGCCACCTAGGCTATATGATATCCAGCATCAAAGCTATACGATCTACATCACCATATGCCTTGGTGGTTAGAATGATCTCTGTTTGGGAAATAAAATAAGGGGGCTGAGGTACTGGCAATATATAATTGGAAAGTCTCAACATTGTTCTTTTGTGGTCAATCCTGAGTTCAGTGTTTCAAGCTATAACCAAAAACCCAGATTTTGTGCCTGTGCATTGGCATTGCAAGCTCAGACAGCAACTGCAAATCTGTTGCAATAGATCCCTGAGTAATTTTGTACTTGTGAGCCCAGTAATCATTTATCTGCCTTCGGAATTGTGTGGTAATTCAACATTGTTCTTCCTTTTTTTCCCCAATGTTACAGTTCATATGGTATTTTTGGACTAATATAGTGGAGCTAAAACTGAAGCAACTCTTGCACGCTAAGGCAAGAACAATGTTGCTGAAATTACCAACTGAAAACTTCCTTCTTACTCACCACATCTTTTGCGTGGTTGTGTTCTTGAATTTTCATGTTTTTACTCCTTTTGTCAATTGGTACAGGCATTGGGTTGTCTTCATTTATATGTGTAAATTTTGGGTCCTCTATGTTAGTAATTGTCTTACCGATTTGATTGTTCTCTTAATAGTTGGATTCATATTTGGATCCTGCTTTTATGTCCCTATTTAAGGATCCAGATCAGCGACGACAGGAAGCACAAAGTGCTGGAACTGTGCTAAAATGCTTGGATATGGTGACCTTGGGGGACCTCCATTATCTTATCTGCTGCTGAAGAATACTCCCTCCATTCTAGATATCTTGCAAAAGCGAATTCCCTTAATCTTTCAGAAATTGCAGAAATGAAAATTCTGTAAGCAATTGTGGGCTCTTGATTTTGTGTAGTAAACATACCTCCCCTTTTAATGCAAAAGCCCTGTAATCTCATACCTTTGCATATTTGATTTCCGCATTCTCTGTGGTCATCTCCGAAAACCATTACTAAAACACTACCAACTTCTCTATAAAATAGGCTCCTGTATACCTTCCTTTTACTTGCTCCGACTTTGTTATATAAGTATATGAAGGAAGGATGTATTTCTTAACATTGAATAACTGAGGTCTGTCCTTTCAATACAAATACATAGTCCTGCCTCTGACACATAACACGTGGCCTATTTTGCAGCTTTTGTTATAATGAAGAGGTCAAGACTCAAGATGTTTGTTGTAGCATGGTTCCATATTTTGCTCTGCAAAGTTGGTAAATAAATATGTCACGTTCTATCCCGGTCTTCTAAGGATCCCGGTCTTCTAAGGATGAGACGCGACTAAATTTTTAATACACATGTTTACAATTATTATAATTTGGACTAATCAAACATTAAATAATCTCACAGGTGCAACAATACTACTCATCACCTTAGTCATTAAGTATGATGATAAAATCTGTCTCATAATCTGTATCATATATAGAACACTTATACCAATTGTTTGTTTTTCAGGTTATAGACATATACAAAATTTCATACCCACATAACATAGCACAAAGTATGCTTGTTGAGTCTGTTTACAAATGTATACTAATAACCTACCATAATAATCTCTCATAAATATAATATAATTCACAACCCAACAATTAGTCATACTGACACTCAACTTGAGTGATATCACACTAACGTTATATAAGACTCAATCGACTGGACAGTGGACCGGTCTGCATCGTTCTCTATAGTACCTGAAAAGAAGAAGCTATAAGAGTGTGAGCTAAAACACGTGTTCAGTGGATATACATGTTGTATATGAAATGAAAATAATAGTAATATACTGAAGTAGGTAGATACTACGTAGATACACATATCAAACAACAACATCAATCCAATTCCAAAGAATTCACAAGTCACATCATCGTCATACTATCTCTCATCAGGTAATCGATCCTACATAGATCCGTGTCTTTTGAGCCTCCCGAGAACACCACAATTCTAGCACATCACTGCACGCCCAGTAATCAAGCATCGACACCTTTATCTCAAATAATGCGTCATATTCCACAATATATAATACACAATACAAAACATCATTCAATCACATAAGTACGTAGCACATAATCTTAGAGAATTGCTACTAAATTCTATCATTTACTATCATCTTATAATAGCATTTTCAAAACATATAAAAATATATTTCCACCTCAGATGTACAAATCTACGGCCCTTCGGTCTTATCGATGGATCCTTTTGATGTCATCATATCTGTTCCAATATCGATTATTTCACTCATTCCACCTAACACATTTGTAATTACAATATCAATATGTTTATCACATTTAATAGTTAATCATGCACTAATTCATGCAAAATGATGCACCCCAAAGTGTCCCAGTATCTCCAGTTACCTCACTATCCATTCACATGCTAGCACTTTTGTTTTAGGGATCACATTTCCTCCCCAAAATTTCAAATCACTCACATTAATTATAATTAGGATTAAGTAGGTCAAACACATTGACCGGGGGGCCATTTTCACATATTTCGACCCCGAATCCTAAAAACTGTACTTCCGGCATTTCATACATTTCGCACCGGATATTATGCTCATTTGCATTTGAAAATCACATTATCACATCAAGCATCATTTAAAAATGTTGCATGCAAAATTTCATGTCGTTTGGATTAAAATCCACACATGTGATAATAACATTTAAAAATCAGAGTTTCGGCGTTACCGACACCCCTTTCCCATTTCTATCGCATCTTTTATTTAAAACCGTCACACTTAATCTCTCATGCACATTTAGTCATGCAATTTCAGCCTCTTAACCTCTCCATTTTAGACCCATAATTTCGGCTCTAACCCTCAAAAATATACTGAACATCTCAAATAGTCATTTTTCACATTTTCTCACTTTTAATTTAATACCCATTTGGAATCCCCTACTTAGTAGCTGTTAATTATGTTTCATATATGTAATGAAACTCACAAAAACTTCTTGTGAAATTAAATTACAACATGCCACTAATTTATGTTTAATACACTTAAATGAAACTCATAAAAATACGTTTTGAAATTAAACTAAAATAGTTCATAAAAATTAAATTAAAACAACCACTAATTTAAAATAAAACAGCCTCCATATATACATACAAACTAAAATTAATTACAACTCATGCTTAAATTGAGTCTCACATACCTTCCTTTCCTTGCTTACGGTTCAAATGGACACACACATATGCTCCCTTTTTTTTCTTTGTTTTTTTTTTTTCCTTTCTCCTTTATTCTTTTGCTCACAGTCACTCACCCTTAGCTTCGGTACTCAACCAGACACACACACACACACTTTGTTTTGTATATATTAAACACACACACGCACCATAAGACACACACACATACACACGATACACCCACACACCCACACATACACACGGCACACCATTTTTTTTAAGGCCAACACCCGTAAAGGTGGGTAAATGGGTTAATTATACTTACTCCCCTCAAGTTTTTAAATAATTTCAAAATTAACCCAGGAGTATTTTCACACATGAAATTCTATAAATGGGTCTCACCAATACATCACTAATGGGGTCCAAATACCCAATTCATGCTCACACACATCATGGCTATGGAAAATTTAATTTAATTAACCATTTAATAATTTCACATAATTATAATTTAACCTACAAAATTATGTTAATATACATGCAATTGCGTGATTGGGTCTCACAAAGTAATTATATTATAGTATGTAAGGGGTGACAAACAATGTCATTGCATGGGAAAGCAATTCACCAAGATGGGGCAAACTGTGTGGGTGCTCAGAATTGATATTTGGAAAAAGTACCTCATATTATAAGAACACTTGCATATTTCAAGTATATGTTTAGTTTGGTGGATGAATTGTTGATTGACATCCACAATTTTATGGGGCTCCTAATTTCTGTTTCAGTTACCGGGGGGGGGGGGGGGGTCAACAGTGAGGGTCGTCCAGTAATGGTGGTTGTGGGAGCACATTTTCTGCTAAGATGTCTTGACTTGGAGCAGTTTGTGCTTTATGTAGTAAAGGAATTAGAACATGCTTCAACTTTTTGTGTCCAAACTGCTGCTGTTTTACTGCTAGATATCTAGTTCCATTGGTTTTGTTGTTGATGGATAATTGATTATCCATGCATTAGGTTGTTATACTGCGGTGTGTCCTTGAACTCTGTCATTCATGTAGTGTTGTCGGAAAGAACTAGAATATTTATCATGAATGTTGCATTTCAGGAGTTTGAATCCTTGATACAGAAGCCTTATTGTATTGTTTACTTGCACTCTGAAGCTTCTTTACAAATGTTAGTATTGTATTGTTTACTTGCACTCTGAAGCTTCTTTACAAATGTTAGTATTCTATCCTCGTACAATTATTTTGCCCCTCAGAAGCATCTTTTTATGGTCTATAATGAGCTTATAGGTTCTTTGGTCTTTTAATGGTAATTCTCAACATTAACTAAAGTTTGGGGCTACCCTTATTGAAAAGAAAAGCAAAGGAAGGAAGTAGTTGTCCTCTGGTTTTACCTTGCAACCAAGTGAAGTTGTGCATGCGCTATATCTGTGAACTTCATGATTAGGTTTCGGCTTTGACCAATATAACATTATCATACACAATAAATTATAATCTTCCTGGCTCAGCAGTTTTTTTGTTTTAAATTTTTGAGTGAGTAACTTCCCGTATCACACTCATACATTCTCACTGTTCGAATCCTGTATAATGGAGTAAACAGGCAACCAGATCTGGGATGGATGAGGAGATTACAGCAAATACTTGGTCGGAAACACAAGCGTAATCTTCATGTATGGTAATTGAACTTATTTAAGAGCGCAACGCCTGCTTTGTTAGATCTAAGTTATCCTTTCATTGTGTAGGCCATAAATGTCCTCCACCTAACTTTGGACTGAAGGCTGCAATTTTGGCTTTGCAATTGTTCGTTGATAATGTGGTATGTATGGTCCTTGTCTCGGAATCTGAACCTTATATTCCTTTGTCTGAAAGCTAATGAAGTTATTCGGAACTGATTTCCAGGTGTGGAAAAAAGTGGTATATGTTGATGGCCTTCTCCAATTATTCAGATATGTTCCTCGTGAGTAACTGACCATTCCTGACTTTGTGTTTCAGTTGAGTTTTTTGTGCCGTCTTATTAAATTCTTCTATGCTAGATTAAATTAATGGAACTCTCTTTAGGAACTGTTTACTGTGAGGTTTTGCAGTGGCCACTGGCCACAATTACCAGAGGGGCCTTGTTTTATGTCGAGGGCGAGTCTCTAATACCGGTTTTATACCATATATTGGAACTGACACATTAATCCTGACAACAATGTTGATGCCAATAGGGAATCAAATCTTTCACACTTAATTTTTACTATTTGTTTATTTCGTTTTATATGCAGACAGACTTAGAAGTGAATGGAGAGAAAGGAATTATAGTAGATCCCAGAACAAAATATGTATATCAACGACCATAGGCATCAAATTTGTGCAATAAGGTAACCAATTTATCGGTGTTCTTGGGAATGGGATATCTTCCTTTCGTTCTGTTTTGCTATCTCTGTAGAGAGTGAATTGTGTTGGGAATCGCTTATTTCTCTAGAATGGTTTCTCATTTTCCATGTTTTGTATTTTCATAAGTTCAATCGGTTTTATTCGTTTGAATGGAAATATTTTTTATTCCCTTTTTGTAATTTGTTATTCCTTGGACAATTCATTGAGAATAATTTAATATGCTGTAGGCTTTGATGAACCCTGTTAATATGGGTGGTTGTCATGGACTCATGGAAAAAGATTGATTCACAATATTTTCTTAGGTTCCAATGGCCACGAGGCTTACAATTCATACCCTTCAAAACAGTTCAAGTTATTTGATTGTCCATTTTTTTGATAGATATGCACTGGTATAACCAATTCAAAAGGAATGTCTCGTTTTCATGTTCGCAGCACAGAAGATGCGACAAACCAGCACAGGTGAATGCAAGCTGCACTCTTGTCTCACAATAATTGATCGGTGTTTAAAGAGAACGTATGCTTCGAAAAGAAGAAAAAAGCAAGAATAAGTAAAAAGTGTATCCTACTCGTTGTTAGGTAGCTCACTGAAAAAATCCGTCCGAAGTGTATGCACTTGCTCTTGGTCTATGTGGATCAGAGGCCCAACTAACACGTGAAGAACTTCACCTCCCCCCCCCCCCCCCCCCCATCTTCTTTTTCAAAGCAGTGTGTTTATTTTTCATTTTTAGTTGACATGTAGACTAAGTTAGGGACTATGTACCTGACTACTTATTCACTATTCTTATTTTCTAATACCCACCAAAACCCTAAAAATAATATATCCCAAAGGAAGGAAAAGGGTGAATTGTACTTTCTACCTTACAAGATTTTGAGATTTTTACTTTAAACTCTCAAAAATTAAATTTTTCACATTGTAATTTTAATTTATCAAAAGTGTTACAATGTGATATTTTTATTAACTTTATGTAATTTTTGTGTTAGTGTAAATAGATTGGTTTTTAACGGAAAAAATGACAAAAACTAACATAAGGGTTATATTGTAACATTTTTTATATATTGATGGTGCAATGTAATAAATTTAACCTTTGATAGTGCAAAATAAAATTTTTGAAATCTTTCAGGATACAAAACGTAAAAAGCCCGAAAGAAAATGACATAAGATTGAAATATAAATACAGCAAAGGAGGGAGAGAGAGGGGGAGGGGGGGGGGGCAGATTTTTAAATTTAAATATGACTTTGGGGCATTGGATAACTGGCCCAATGATTACCCACGGGCTGCCCATTAGCAGCGGCCCATTTTCCCAACCCAAATGGGTTGTCGATTTTGAGCAAGTGAGAATGGTCCACGTGTATGTTAATCCACTTTGACGAAGCTATTCGTCTTCTGCCCTGAGAAACCCAATTTCATACATCAAATTGAAAGGACTCAAATCCACACACGCCATTGCTCAGTTACTCTGTATGTCTCTCTCTCTGTTACTCTGTATCTCTCTCTCTCTCTCTCTCTCTCTCTCACACACACACACAAACACACAAAAACTCGTATTATTTCTGTTCATCTGTATGTATATGTATTCGGCTTTAGCACCTCTTGATGCTGCCAAATTATTGAATTTTAATGTCGTCTTTTAGGGTTCAAAGCTCAATAAAGAGGAGATTTTAGGGTTCAGGCAATGGTGCAGAATTTGTCGGCAAGCACTCTGACAACCTCTAGAAATAATAGCATATATGGGTCTTTGTATATATGGAGGAGGCATTTCAAGCCAATGAAGAAAACCCAGATGAATTTTGGAGTTGAAAGACAATTTTTCAGGAATTATTATCTACAGAGCTTCTCATTTGTTGGTCAGTGTGATAAATCAAAACAGAGAAGTTGGAGGGTTGAAGCCGGATGGCTATTTAAAGGAGGTGACCAGGGTTTGAATGCAAGTTCAGAGCGTAGTGAGAGTGCCAATGAGGATATATTGATGTTCTTTTTCCAACTGGACTTGGCAAATCGAGTTCAGGTTTTGACATACTGTATCTGAACAGATATTTTGTTGTGTTTTTGTTCTAATCCGTTAAGTTAAAGTTACCAGTAGAAGAAATGATTATCTAGCATAGTCCTGTGTTCTTATTGGCAGTATGCTCTGAATTTGGAGCAGTATGATAATGCGCAGCAACTGCGAAACAAGCTTACTGAGGTTAGGACCCTTATCTGTGCTTAATAACAGCATGCTAAATTAGCCAGAATGAGGACTTCAATTCCCCCAAATTTCTTGATTCAAAGTACATGCATTTGAACTATAAGCTACCATTGCCAATGATGAGTGATTGTAACTGATTTTGAAGATATCTTTGTAATGACATAAATACATGTATAATGTATTAGTTCATGCCTCCAAAAGAACACGTTCATGTTTAGGCTGTTTGGCAAGTAGTGTCTGGACTAGAACTTCTGCTTGCTTATTATGGGTTTCTGTTGGAAGGTTGAAGCAGAGGTTATCAAGCAGCAAGAAGCAAAAAGGGGATCATATTCAAAGAGTGAAGTTCAGGACATGGCTATAAGCATCTTACGTCTGCGGTGAATCTCTCATGTGCTCCTTATAACTGCTTAGGGTTTGTAAGAATATTTTTGGATGTGGGGGTGATACTACCTTAGTTTTTGGTTTTTTCTGCTTATTTGCTCTTCTTTGTTCTGCAAATTTTGTGGCATGCAGTATAACTTGAGCACTGTTGGCTGCAGTGCAGACCTGCAGAATGCAATTGAAAACGAGAATTACGGTTTGGCAGCTGGATTACGGGATGAGATATCCAAACTAGAGGCAGAGTCTCTGGCTGCATCTGTAAAAGCTCAAGCTTATGAAAATGCTCAATATGCATTCCGTTTGGGCCAGAAAGTGAGGCATAAGATTTTTGGTACAGATTTCTCCTGCCTTCAACTGCATTACTTTCTTTGTATCTGTTGTGGTTTATGATCTCCTAAAATAAATAAGATAATTCTATCTTATTATAATTCATTATTGTGGTTGTCAAGATTCAGGGTTCTACATATTATATCTTGTCTTGCACTTCAAGCTTGTACCTTTATAGAACTTCAGTCGGCAAAACCTCAATGAGGACACAAGTGATGAAATTGTACTATTTGTTCTTGCGAAACTTGCTATTTCTGTCATTTGCTTGAGTGATTAATAATCACTTGAGCCTGTTTAAGTTTTGTTGATAGAAGAAATCCCTGTAAGAGCCCACATCGGCCAATTAAATTGGTGAACTGTATCCTCGACTTACAGAATTCAAACCCCAGAGCCTAGATTATGATGGGGTGAATTGAAAGAAAGGGAGGATCTCGAACCTTGTATGTTAGATGCTACTAGTGAACTTAACCAACGGGCCAAGTTAAGGTTTTGTCAATGTATCAAAACAACTTCTCCATGTGTGAATTATTCTTAACCTTCTCCAAAAATAATTAGCTAAATGTGTGGAGAGGGCTCTATCAAATTTCTGGATGCCAGAGGTAGTGCTTGTTGACAATAGTTTTCCAATTACTCTTATTTTTTCAAATTTTCTGGAACTGATCTTCTGATTTTAGGATATCGAGCTGTGATTTGTGGAATGGATCCAGTGTGCTGTGAATCAAGTTCATGGATAAAAACAGCACAAGTTGAAAAGTTGACTCGTGGTCCTGATCAGCCATTTTATCAGGTCTAACTAGACTTACTATGTGCTTTTATTTTTGAACGTTCATGCAAGAAATGACTTAACTGTTCAGTATGATCCGTTGATTCTTACAAGCAAGTATCACGCCTCTTGCGAATGTTATCTTTTTACTTTCCCCAGCATTCACCTACTTGATATTTCGATGTAAATGACTCTATTTCCTACTTTGCTTGAAACATTTGATGGGAACACAATTGGTCTGGTTCTGTAAGGAGTTTCATTTGGGAGGGAATCTAGAAGTTGAATGGTAAAAACAGTCTATTGTGTCTTACATAGTAATTGAAGTTAGTTTCTACATCAACAGTTGACTTCAGTGAATTTTTTAATATGTAATGCATGGGATCACCTATCTGATTTGGATGGATGGGAACCAGTTACATTATAGCCATAGCTTTTAGGTGATGCATCTGCTTTTTTTGCAATGATTATTGTTTCTGTTTTGTTGTTCCTATTTTTTCATTGTGATTTTGTTTTGTGAAATGCTACAAAAACATTAGAAACATCTTATTTTTGGTTTTTGTTATCTGAGTAGGTCCTCTTTCCTCTGTATTCCACAATCATAAGACTTGGCATATGTTTCTTGTGTTGTCTCTTTGGTGTCATCGTCTCTGGTTATTGCACGGAAGTCTTGGGTTTGACTGAACTGAATGTCCCTTTCCTTATGTGATGGTTAAACACTTAGTGTCTATAAATGCGTTCTTGCTATTATTGATGATTAATTAGCAATAACAGCTGTAATTCAAATCCAAACATATCTCTGTCCAGTCAGCCAAAAGCTCTTCTCGAGTACTAAGTGAACTAGTTTGACACAACAATCTCCTCTTGATTTGTTGAATGATTAAACAATCAATGATACACATGATTCATGGTAGAGGAAACACTGCATTAAAGTCTTTGCATTTTCATCCATAGTATGGGCATTTTGAGTCAATTGACACAAGTGTGACTAAATACACACTAAAGTTGTGGAAAGAAAATTGAGATTTTTAGGGAGAAAGCAATGTTCAACACTGGATTAGTCGTCATTTTGGTATACCCTTTTGGGCGATGTACTGGGTGTCCAGAAAGTTTTAGTCATTGCATGTGTTTGCCTCATCTCGACTTGTTACACATGTTGCACTTAATTGTAGGCCTTAGTTTGCTCATTTCATTGAAATTTTCATGACTCTGCAGCATTCGCATGCCAAAAATAAAAAAGGAATAATCTGTATTTTTTTGATTTTATTGTTTTACAGGTCTTGGTTGATGTATACATGGACCCCAATCTGTTAGTGGCATACGGTAATTAATGGCATTTTGTTACTTGTTTTATCATCTTCTATTCCTGCTCAATCATCACCTCCGTTTTGTTATTACATTTATATTACTTTACAGCAGATTTTAGGCTTTTCAGCAGTTTCTATTGCATAACATTTGGTGTTTGGATGGCCGGGTGGGATGGGATAGGTTTCGAGTTTTTCATCCTTCCCAATTCAACACAATCAGTTGTATTGGCTCAAAAAAAGATGCATTCAAAATGAATCCCATGTTTGGCCAATGCATTTATATTTTCATGGGTACCACAGATTACCTGATATGATGGATAATTTGAAAGCTTTTTGTAATAGAATTTTACCAGCATATCCTTTAGGCAATCCAATCTAATCTCATATTTAGAGAAATAAGGGGTACAATAGTATATTGCTCAAGAAATCCCATTGGCCACAACTTTAACCTGCCCCCCAGTTGGGCTGGAGAAACCCATATTGGTCCTTGGGTAGGCTCAAATGGGATTTCCCAGCACCATTTTTCTTCCCAAACATGGGATAAGTGGGGTCCAACTCCATCCAAACACCACCTTGTGCTGTGAAAGCGTAATTCTTTATGTTTGAATCTGTGATGCCCCTCATCAGATGTTTCTGGTGTTTCTTTTTCCAATTTTGGCAGACAGGATGCTTCTGATTTATTTTTTATTTTTTTGGGGAGGGAGAAGGGGGAGGGGGACTTGAACCCTTGACCTCAATAAAACAAAGTCTTTACAAGACAAGGAGTACCATTGGACCAAAGGCCCATTAATGCTTCTGATTTATAAAGTTCTGCTTCTTCCATGCGCATTCCCTAACTTAATTTGCAATGTGTTGCAGTTCCTGAGGAGAATTTGCTTCCCCCGGATCAACCAGACTTGGTGAGTAGAACTGTCTTCGGAACAAAAAACTCTCTCCCAGCCATTTTTGTATCTTACCATCTCTGTATTATGCATAACTATGTGCAGGCTAGATTTGATCATCCTTATGCATCATTTTTATTCTATGGGTTGGATGCAGCCGGAGATTACATCCCAATCAAGCAGCTGCGCGAGAAGTACAACAGGTCCCGACATGAGGTGCCACACGATCCTCGAGATGAGAAGAATGGTGATTCTTGATTTCCCATTCTTTAACAGAGACTGCAAACCTTGTGCCAGTTAATAATCCCTAGCAGTTTTTGTCTAAGCATCACATTTATGCAATCCATTGCCTCGTCTTCTTGTTTCGTAAATTACTAGATCTAACATTCAATCAACATTACCATGTCTCTTTGCTTGTATATGACCTGATTCGTGTATATAACATACTTCTCTTTGGATCAGAGAGGTGATAGGGAGATAGTTGTGTAATTTGGTGATTTTGGATGACCAGAGCCTTCTTGGTTGCTAAGGTACGAAGTAGTGCGAATTTTTGCGGCTGGCCAATTTGATTCCACCCTCTAACTTGGGTTAGCATATTAGGTTAGGTATAGCAATATGGTAGCTCCAAAAAAAAAAAATTTGGTATCGTATTGCAAATGAATTTTATCGTGAATATTTCTTTATTTTGCTTGTGAATGTGATAGCAATAAAGTAGATAATAAAATAAATCAATTCTATATGTGTTATATATTTATTGAACGAAATATAGAAATATAATATTGAAAAAGAATTTTTTGGTACTATAGTTGGACCTTGATTACATTGACTTTCAAGGGCATGGTAACTGGAGTGAGATTTACTCTAATATATGTATTTTTAAAAAAAAAAAAAAATTAATCGATTGTTTACTATGCATTTAATTGGGATTTATTATATGTAAAGTGAGTCTCTTGATCATTAATTTTAAATGATATACTAAGAAGAAAATTGAAAAAAATATGCATTGTAGGAAATCAGGTAAGGGTGATAATTCAACAGTTATTCAGGCTTGACTCAGATAGGACTTGAAATGAGTCGATCTAGAATAAATTTTTAAATTCGTTTGAAAATGAGCCTAATCAACTTGAAGTCGTTTCGGGTGTGTGAGTGTATATATAAGTTTTCACTTAACCTTTATTCTGTTAGAGTAAGTGATTAAGTGTGAATAAAAAAAACTCGAGGTCACAAATCTTAGTTTGTTTATATCTAAAATAATCGATTTATTTGAGTTTTATAAACTTGACTTAAACTCAAAAAATTCGATTCGATTATCAGCCACGATGGAATGTAAATTTTGGTACTGTAATTTAAAAACCGGAGATACAATATCAAAAATAATTTAATTTTTGGGTACTATAATGGAATTTGTTTGTGATTGGTTGGTTGGTTGAGAATCTAAGACCGAGTTGTACGATTGCATGTCATTGTCCAGGACAGGACAGTCCAACCAAATATAGATTTTTTATTCTCTGATTCTCACACTCTTTCTCAGTGTCATTACTGCTAAGCTCACACGCCTTAAATTGCCGTCCCATCAACACAAGCAATGTGCCTAGCTCCAGACTAGTTTTTTTTAAAGTCATGCAGACTAGCTTATAAATATTATTATTTTTAATAGTTAAATTATATTTTTTAATTTTTAAAATATAAAATTATAATTAATTAAAATTATTTATAATCAATTACTCTTTCCATTCTTAAATATATGTCGTTTTACACAATTTTTTTTATTCCATAATATCTGTTATTTTATGAAACCAAAACATAATAAATATTTTTTTTCTAAATTTACTCTTATCTCTGTTTTTTAATAAATGCTTAATAAATTAAGTGTAGGCTAAGTGTCTTTCATATTCCTTTCCTTCTTAATACGTATTGAATAAGAGTATTTTAGTTTTATGTAATTGTTTTTTATTCATATTACAGCTATTTAATAGCTTCCTTAATTCTTGTGCAAAAATTTTAAACTACAGATATTTAGGAACAAAAAGAGTATAAAATATTACAATCAATTATATATAACTCTGATCAGTTATAATTTTTCCTTTAAAAAATTTATCATTTTTGTAGATATTTTTATCATTTTTTTTATAATACAATTGTGATAAAAATACTAACAAATATAATAAATATTGATATAATATTAATTTTTTTTTTTTTGGGTACGACAGACAACTGCTATATGGAAGGATAGGAGAGAGAAAAAAAACAGTAAAAAAAAGTAAAACCAGGGAAAGAATTAACACTCATTGGCAAAGCAACTCTTAGCCACGGGTTTGAGCCACAGAACAATTGATCGCAAAGCATCGAAACCTATCAAATAATTCTAAGGAGTAACTTAATGACAATATAGACGAGCGGTAAATTCAGACGTCTTAAATTTGAAATATAATAACTTATTGTTTCTCTCATGCATACCAAAAAGAGGGAAACAACTATTAACAATCAAAAGTGTTCGAATCGATTAATGCGTATATCGATTAATCCTCTATCCAATTCGGAAAGAGATTGGCCAAACCTATTGTAATCAAACCCAATGACAACACTTCCTAAAAAGAATGTAAGAAACTTTTTTGAAGAATGATACAATCACCAGTCAGGGTATGGATGATTTTGGGGTAAGGTGGAGCTTGCAATGATATGTGCCTGCCTATCAGTTGGAAAAACTACAAAATGCAAATTTTATTTTTCGATACTATACTAAAAATGATAATTTAATCGAGTGAGATTAAAACCAAATGAGACCGTATAGTATTGATCTGCACTAATATTTTCGGACTGATTCTAACTTTTTTGACTTGTAAGTTGACCTTAGCTAACTCGTAACTTTACCAAACAGTATCTATTGGACAAATTATATGATAAACATTGAAAATACCCTGTAACATTTCAGAACATTCCACATACATCATTAACAAATTGCCAAGAAAATAAAGATAGCCTCAAGAATGTTTGGAATTTTAAGAAAAAATGAAGTGACACATACCTATTAGTAGTCTCCCAATGAATAAAATTACATTTGCACACACCGACACAATGAGCAAATCACTATCAAACCCAAGAACAATACAACTACTATTAGTGATACATTTGAAGAAATGATGTATATATCCAGAAGAAATCATGAAACATTATTTCTCAATAATGCAAATGTAGTAAAGACAAGAGGATAATCATGGGGGGCCTGAATTATAGGCTACAAAGACATGTACAAATGCAAACCCCCATAGCTAACAATAGCCTCACTCCAAAAATCCATATAACCAGATCACTACCTCCTTACTTCCCTCTATAGTTCTGACTTTATAGATGAAAACCTATTCATAAATTAGATTAAAAGCACAGGAGGAGGATTACCTGCAGGGCATCTTTGTCGGCGGGGACGTCTAGTTGTCTTCCCCCACCCTGTTAGGCTGATATCCTCCAATCCTGCTTCAATGTTATTAAGCGTTTGCATCAGTGGAGTGGGAACTGGGCTTGGTGCCACATAAGGGACAGTGTCAACAGCTGCTCGGTGCTTTCCCCTAGCGGCCCTATTTCTAGTGCCATTCCTTCTAGTCAATCCTGCATTCCAAGGATGGCCTGTAGCTCTCATCAGCCCACCAAATGTCTGAAGATCTTCAGTTACCTCATGCCTGGACAGAGACACAAGGCCTGGAAGGATGTCCCTTTGAAAGTCCCTCCGCTGCCTCCCTCTCCTTGCCTGGCCCCTTCGGGTTCGATGAGGTAATGAAGTGGCTCCTCCTTCTTCCACTTGTTGAATTTCGGAAACGAAAGGCTCAGGCATGTAGTCTTCTTCTTTGGTCTCCATCAGTTTCAACGTCATGACCTCAAAATAATCAATCTCATCAGAGAAAGAATCTTCAACATCTCCACCATCTCTGCCCTTCGTTTCTTTGTCAAACTTGTTCTCAAGATCATCCGCACAAGAAGAAACTACCTCAACAAACCACAGCAGGGAGTCGCACAAAGACCCTTCATATGAGAGGCCAGTGTTATCATCTTTCTGATTGTGCAGATCACATGATGAGATGGCAACTATAGCTTCTGCTGCAATCCTGACAACCTCATCCTGTGGTTGCTTCATTTTGTGTTCTGTTGATTGCAAAGGAGCCTGATGCTGCATCTGCCCTCTCTCAGGCAGAATATCTTCCTGAGTCTCCAGAACCACAGGGGCTTCCAGATCTATCTCCACGGCAATCTTCACAGTGGCACTGGTACATGAAACGGATGGTACTAATATGTCTTCATCCTCCGTCATACAGGAGTTCAAATCAATGTGGTTTTTTAAACTTGTGCGTTTTGTATCCATTGCATTCTCCACAACCACAGCTCCTGCAGCAATCTGTTTGCCAGACTCCGGAAGTGGAGAATCGCAAGCCACATTAATGTCAATTACTCTATTTTTCCCTTCATTTGTGATGATTCTGCCTTCAGGAGGGCAATGAAAGGATGCAGAGGTGGAGAGAAGTGATGATGACTCATTTTTAGAAGCACAAGGATAATCAAAAATGTGAAACCCAAAAATTTTCCTATTACTCAAAGAGTCACCTATCTCTTTCTTGGCCTCAATATCATGGTCAGTTAAAACAGATGATACTGCATTATCTGAGAAAATTGGATTGGGATCTTTCAGAGTTTCACTTTTGCATGACAATGGATTAGAGGACGCTTGAAAGAAAGCCAAGTTTACTGAGCTCGAATCTCTCCTTGTATCAGTGGCCCCATTCGTACGGGCTGGCTTAAGCCAAGGCAACACCGCCAGATGGTCTTCACACTTCCTCTTTTCATCTACAATATCAAGATCTTGCTTGGAAACTGCCTCATTAGAGGAACTTTTCGAAAGTACCACATTTAAGTTCATATCTTTTGCAGGGGTTACATCCCTTAAATTCGAGCTCTTATAAAACTTCTCAGATCCATGATTTATCGAGCGTTCAGATGCTAGGTTACCAGTCCCATCGCAGTTCTCATAACCGAAGCAAACTGATAGTTCCTTAGACCCTGACGAGGACCCATGGTAAAACCCATTCCGGGTTGGTAGATCCACACTTGGGTTTGACCTGTAATAGCCATGCCTTTTGTCTCCACAAATGTCATGACTCTCAGATGAAGGACTCCTACTTAAGTTTGCAGATGAGTTCAAAGAAGAGAAGGTGTGAACTGATGTCAACTTCTGTGTCAAGCTACTGATTGGCCTTCCCCAAGATGAGATAGAGTGAGACCGAGAATTCATCAGATCAGAGGAATTAACAAATGGGTATGGATTGGGTATATGGGAAGCAGCAACTGATTCCATACAGCGGTAATTGGAGGGAACACGATTTCTATCAGAGATTTCTACACCATGACCTGTTCTCTCTCTCCACAGATCTTCCCTGTTATGATCTGTTCGAAAAACTCCTGGCGGTTGATGAGTTTTGTTAAGCACTACTTGTGTTGCATGGGAAGGAATAGGCAATTCATCTTGCCGGAGACCTTGAGGAATAGGAGTCAGATTGCTTTTAACCTGCCCTGTAAAGAGAAAATGCGTTCACAAGTTATCATCTGCACCAACTCGAAAAGTGGGGAGAAAAGTTTGAGATAAGATCGAGACATTTAATATAAAACAAATTTAAGCTGGCAAACTATAGGTTCACTCAATTAAGAACTTAGGCCATAAAAATTCTGCAAATAGGTCAAAGATTAGATCTATCTCCGATCAACCCCTTCCAGAACCCTGCTTATGCGGAACTACTCTAGGGCAATGACCTATACTTCTTACAATTTGACTAGCAAGGTGTTCATGCATGCGTGGGTGTGCCTCAACAGCTAGTAAATAAAGCACGAGATATTATCCCTCATCAAGTCAATCACAATGTTTAAATGAGAATCAATAACTATCATAAATATGTTCCTCTAACAAATCCTGGCTTCTCTAAATTTTTGTAATATCGTCATTTCCTTCAGAATTGATATGAGAACTCCGAAGTTCTCCTACTTCCTCCTCAAAAACATTCTGACATAAAATTAAACATCACATGTTCAAAAATGAATCATGGTTCAACAAACACCTAGACTCCAAACATCTACATAACCTGGAATTCAATATGGTTGAAATTAAAAAATAAAAATAAAAGAACAATTTCAAGAATTCCATCAAACTTTTTATAAATCATTACCTGCTTCATATATATTGGGTGACAACCCTCTCCCGTTACTTTTATTGTCAACAGATAGATAGTTCAAAGTCCCATTGTTGCCCGCATGATAGGAGTTCCTCGGAAGTTCTTTGGGCGGACCTACAAACTCTGATTTTTTTCTAGCAGACAGATCCAGGCCTCTAATCTCTCCATGAGAAGCAGAATGGCCAAGAAAATCCACAGATTTTGGAACTGATGCTTCTTCAGCCCGAATGGGTTCATTCAGATCTGCCAACCCAATAGAGGTTCTCAAACATGAATCAGAAGGTGAAGAATCTCCTGGGTAATTTGTCCCCCCACCACCACAAAGAATGAACTTTACATTATTCCCACTTCCTATTTCACAATTTCTTGTAAAAGGATGACTTGAAATGTCCGCTATGTTATTCTCCTGGATCTCTTCCCCTTTTTCAGTGTCTATGTACTCATCAGCTGGGAGTTGAAGATCAAACAACTTTTTCCTAACCTTTGAGGGTCTAGGCTCCAACTCTTCGCAATCTTTGGAGGTACAGCCATTTTGGAATGGAACTCGACCAGCTTGTGTAATGTTCCCTTTCGTACAACTCAAGGGAGAATTCATGATATCTGCACCCAACATAGATGCTCTACCATAAACAGAGTTAGCCAAGGGGAAGCTGGGGCTATGCCATTTCCAAGCATCTTCAGATGGATTTTGAGATGCTATGAGGCTTGATCCTGATGATATCTCAATTGATATCTGCTGTTTATGTTGTTCCTTCTTTTTGATTTCGTCCATTATGTCCCTTTGAACTCTGTAAAGGCGGTGGAGTTCATAAACCTGGTGACAACAGAAATTGAAATAATCAAGGACCACAGTATAAAGGAACCCTTCAGCAAACAAAGGACCGAGTCCAATTCATCCATGCCAAATGAGGAGTCTTATCAATAAAGGAGCAACAGACTAGTTGGATGTGCCAGAAATGAGATACAAAGAACAACAGATACAATTGAAACCAGATGTACCTGGTTCTTGAAAATGGCTTCATGTTCTAGTATTTTCTGCTTCAACGCATCCTTATCATTAGATGGGTATGTGTTTTGGACAGTCCTTGACCTGAACCCATTGAAATACTGCCCATTATCTCCATAATAAGGGGGCCAACTACTACTGTTAGCATCCTCGTTAAGGTCCCTCATGGAGTAATATATTGGAAAGTAGCTTTTACACTGCACTTCTGTTCCCATTCCTGCCAATGAAACAAGAAATGTAGCAAGGGTGAATATAAATTACATGATTCAATCCTTATCACAAAAAGGTAATATAAGTTACTTACCCAAACACCCACCCCCCTCCCCCCCCCAAAAACAAAAAAAAAACCCACAAAAAAAAAACCTTTTCATTCTCTAGTTCTCTTGTTCAACAGAAGTTACTTTCAGCTAACAAAGTGTTACTCAGTGAAAAATTTAATACTACAGTTTGACAACAGCAACAATTATACAAATGACAGGAGGAATCATCCAGAAGAATAAAAAAGTGTACCAATGTTTTGGTTTCTTTGACAAGCATCGAGTCCTTAGCAATCCAGATATATACATGCTTTGCAAACACAAAGCAACTACTATCAATTAATGCATGGTGTACACAAAACCATTACATTTTAATGAATAAAAGAGTCCAATACATGCATGGCACAACAATCCCTATCATAAACCAAAAAATAATGGAGTCCCACACAAAACAAGCAATAATCAGCTTGTGTCATGCATTATAGCTTCTGTTGAGATAATTATTGTGTTATGATTACCATAATGGCATACTCAGATAGAAGTGGGCAACATTACCTCAGTATTTTAGAGAAAAAGGGAAATAATTCAATGGAAGTGATATCTGGATCAATGATCAAAATTTCGTTTTCACACATTGTTTCGGTCACCTAGGAAACAAAAATGTTTTGACAATATTTTAGAAACGATTCGGAAACTGAACGGAAACAAATAAAAAACTTGGGCATTTATTTTCAAAACATTCCAAACCATTGATCAAAATATATTGAAACATACCAAAACAATAGAGGAAATATGCCGAAATATCATGAAACACTTGAAACATTCCGAAATACGTTGAATCATTGGAATTTTGATTTCATCATGCATTCATTTCGAAACCTTTAAACGGTCGAAACGGTCAAAATGTTTCCATTTCTAAGGATTCCAAAACAAATTAGTGATGAAATCGAAATTCTAATACGTCAAGGTGTTTCGGCATGCTTCCACCATTGTTTTGGCATATTTTGAGGTGTTTCAAGATGTTTCGCTAAATTTTAACCAATGTTTCCGAATTTTTTGAGAATAAATACCCAAATTTTTTATTCATTTCCACAAGTTCCGAAATATTTCTGAAACATTATCAAAACGTTTCTATTTCCAAGGTGACCAAAACAATTCACCAAAATAAAATTTTGATCCTTGCCTTGAACTGAATTTAACAAACATTGGGTGTTAGGAACAATCACCATTAGCAATAAATGAACAAGTCAATGCGTTTAATTTGATATCTTGCTTAAGCTAATACAACAGGCACTAAACAAGTTATCCAGTGATGGAACTAATACATGGTAGCTATAACACTTTAAAGCACAAATTCAGGAAAAAACTTTTTCGCGTAAAAGGGAAATTTTCTCACTAACCCCATTTCCATATCTAAAATTTGGGAGAAACATTAAGCATTCGCATCTGAAACTGTTCTATATACGGGAAAGCAGGAACGGACATAAGCACAGCAAACGTCCTACCACACAAGGAATGCATTAGACATACAGCAACTAGAATGTTCATAATCATGAATGTATTATTATTAACTTCAAATAAAATGACCCTTCAGTTTATACAACATACTGTTCTGGTTCATGCTAAATATGCTACTTAATTTCCATTTCCTTATCCAGTAAAAATTTGCATCTTATTTACCATTTCATGTCAGGTATATATTTTTGCATCTACCACCCTTCAAGTGATTATAGTGTCGGACGAAAATGAAACTACAGTATCTGTTCTGCATAGCATTTGTTGAGATTTGGTAGTGTGTTTCAACTTTCAACACACAGTCAAAACACTTTTTGGGAAATTCATAAACAGTCATTAGATCCCACTTCTGAAAAACACTTATCCAAAGGGTCAATCTGTGCCTTAAAATGGAAAGACAATGAGAATAATTGCATTTCTCAAGATAGAAACACAGTCATCTGTATTAAAAGACTCGGGGAAGCCTAGAGCAAAACAAAAAACAACCAGTTCTAGGCCAAAACAAGATAGTGAAGCACTCTATAAACAAAAGTTCTTGCTTTCCAGAATTCTCTCTCTTGCAGTTATGTTGTTCCATAATTTACTCAACCATCGATTCACTATTCTTCCATCCCACTGTCCTATATCAAAACCTTCTCCAAAGCCGCTTCATGATAGAAAAAACCATGAATTCCCCCAAAAAACTGGAGAAACAGCTTAAGAACTTGCGTTGGGCTTTAAAGGGTTTTCTTTCGATGACCCCAATTCCCCGACTTATACTTAACTTGAAATTTGCTATCAAAACCCCGAATCTTGTTATCCATATATTCTGCATGCAAATGCACATATTTAGTATCATGATTTTTTGGTTACTTGGATAGTTATGTAATATTTAGAAAAATAATAATAGCAGCTAAAAATATATCAAAGGAAATTCTACACTTCCGTTTCATATTCTTGTTTCCCATATATTACTAGCTCACAGCAACCAAAAGCAATCAACAAGAAGAAAGAACATTGAGTACATAATGCAACTAAAATTGCCTGACCAAACCTTCTGCCTCTATGGAAAAGCAAACAAACCAAGAGCTTCCTCGACAAATCAGCAAAGGAGCAAGGACCAAGACATCAGTTTTCCACCCACCCTCGAGAGTTTTTTCTTGAAAAAAAAAAAAAGAATATTAATGCACATTTGAAACTACAGCACTAGTAATTTATAAATTTAGATAAAAGTTAAGCTATTGACAGGTTCTTAACCAAAGCAAAACTCAGTTACAGTGGGCAGGTATTCATGACCATATCGCATGATCAAGTCAGTGTACACCACATATCACTCACCCTAGAGCTTTCTTCATCCTTATCCCTTCATTAAAGGTCCTCTTGACCAAACATCATAACTTCATTAAAAACTACCACATGAATTTATGAATTTACATAGCAGCAGTTCCTCACAGCATAAAACAATGAAGTGCAACGGGCCAAAATTAATTTAATTAAGCTCAAAAAACTGAAAACCACATTTGCATAGGATCAAATCAATCGCCAGACATTCGAGTAACTCGTTCCAAAGAAAAAGGCAGAAGTTAATACGAAAATAGGCTGAAGGGGTGGTATGGTCCAATACTTACAGATATGCGCTTGAGATTGTAGTATATAGAGCTGAAACACAGGTGTTGAACATGAATGCACAGTAGTTCCATATCTCAGATAGTGAGAATTAGATCAAGCAACCAAAGCCCATGTTTACATGTAAGGAACCATGCATTTCTATAAAATTAAATTAAATCACACATTCATACCTAAGACATAGTGATATGCAAGCTATCATCTTGTCCTCATCAATGGCAGAAATGAAAAGTCTGTAGACCAGACCAAGTAATGAACTCTTCCCAATCTCAAATAATCAAAAAGGAGAATTCTGGCATAACTAAAGCTCCAATAAAACCCTATCAAAAGTAAGGAAAGTTGCAATCTCTTTCCTTTGCAAGTTTCATAAAGGGAGAATAAAACTTGAAACAGAAGCTTGAACCAATCCCACATAAAATGATCGGCCATCAAAGTTAAGTACCCATCAAATCCATCCATAACTAAACAAAATCAAACCTTAATTAAGTGAGATAACAGACATAATTTAGCAAATACATAAACCAATTGTTCTAAGCCAACAAAACCAGTAACAACATAACAAAAAAAAAAAAACTAAAACAAAGTTTTGAAAAATAATTATAACCCAATTAACAAAACCATCATTTTGTTGGTGGAAGAGGGGGCGGGGGAATTGCTAATCACTTTTTACCACAAAACCCACAAATTATATTTACCCACAGAGTGTAATATACAATTTACCTCAGACCCACATCACGTAACCACCTCTTCTCAAAAGCTCCTGATAGATTGAATCATTCAACGGTTCACCCAGCATCAATAACTCAGAATCATGAAAATTCAGAGTCGCAGACTGGCACTAGCAAAGCCAAAACAGAAGAGGAAAGAATAATAATAAACAATAAACATAAAGAAAGAATAAAGTAGGTAGTTTGGTAACACCATTGAGGAAGCTTAGATCGTCTTTAGGTAGAAGAAAAAGTTGGAGATTTCGATCTGCTGGGCCAGTCAGTCTCTCTGAAAGAAAAGGAAATTCTTTTAGAGAGAGAGACTTGTATTTTTTTAGAGAGAGGGAGAGAAATCCCAGATAAGAAATCTTTTACACTAACAAACGACCTTCTAAGAACAGTGACATGAAATTTGTCAACATCCGGTCTCTTTTTATTCTCTGCTTTTTCTTCACCTCTCTCTCTCTCTCTCTAAATAAATAATTTCTGGATTTTTTAGAAAATAAAGAATAAATAAATAAATTTTATTTAGTAAACTTATCATTCTCATTAGATGGACAATGGACCTTATTATTAATTGTGATTTATTATCAATTTAATAACTATGATCCGCTATATTCTTAAATAAGGTCACTAAATTATATAAATAACATTTCCTCCCCCCTTTCCACCCAAAAAAAAAAAAAAAGAGTATTTCTATCTTCTCTCCCTGAATCTATTACCAAAATGCTGTTATTTTCAAATAAAAATATTGATCTGTCGTATTTTTAAACTTACTTACTGATCTACTAACATTTTTGAAAATGAAATTATTGATTCCGCTTTAAACAAGTGATACAAAAAAAAAAGAAAAAAAAAAGTAATTTTGTAAGTATTAAAAGCGTTTTTGTTGATTCAACTTTCATGGGGAAAATGGAATTATTGATTCCGTTTTTAAAAATTACAGTAGATCGATAAATAAGTTTAAAAATGCGATAGATCAATATTTTTGTTTGAAAAAGATAATATTTTGGTAATAAATTCTTTTCTCCAGCTTTCTAGCTTTTGGTACAGTTATTAATGATAATTAAATATCCTAATATTAAACTGTCCACCTACATGAACTAGGATGAGATCAAAGATAAAACTATAATACCCATAAAAAAATAGGGTACTATACTAAAATTTATTATCATTTTAAGTCAAGTTATACTTTATAAATAAAAAATTACAAGGTCTTAATTTTGTAATCAATTGAGAATAATCTCAATTAGTTAGAGCTTTTTTATTTAAATGTATGCCCTCCTCTTAGACGCGCAACACTAAGCAATACAAGACAATCCACATTACTATTTAATAGTAGACGATACGAACTCGTCTTGCTCCTACCCACTCCGACGGCTTCCCTTCTGATTTTGTCATTTCATTTTCTTATTCTGATTTAAAACTAGAAATTTTAACCTTTAAAAATTCTAATTTTAATACTTAATCATAATTTTTTAGGATCGATCATATCTTTTCAATTGTAACTTAAATTTGTTTTGAATTTTAACTCTAGTTTTTGTAATTTTTGAATAATACAAGGGTTAAAAAATAATAAAACAAAGAGAAATTATTTGCATCGTACCGGACATTTACTAATATGTGTATAGATACATAGTAGGCGCCTGCATTACTCTTAACAACAAACACAGCCAACTTGGCAATCTTCTAAGCTATAGTTGTTAATCTGAAAAATGAGAGATTATTTTAGTATTAATTGCTTTTGATTCGCCAATTTAAGTAGTGTTTAATATGCTAATACGTCAAGCATAGGGTGGGCCCCCACTCACACTGTGAGCGCAGGACAGGATGAGGCTTCTTTGAGGTTTAGGGTTAGGTTAATAAACACTCCTAAAGTTGGTTATATTTACGACAATGGGATCAATACTTCCGGTTGTTCCTGATTGGTTGATAGAGTGAAATATAAATTTAGATATTCTAAATTAAAATGTTAATAATATTTTAGGGGCAAGCCGGACATGAATTAATGTGTTTTATATAAGATATGGCAATGTCTAACAAAGATTATACTTTCTCCCAAATAAAGAAAACAAATATCGTACTTGTAGCCTACCTATAGATTTTTTCTCCCTCAGTGGTCATAACAGATCAATACTTCAATTAATCACAAGGCGAATAACTCAAATGATAACAGGGATGAGTTGTAAATTCAAATGTTATGAGTTTAAATTTTACTAACCTCGGAGTCAAGCCATGAGAGATTTATTCCTAATGAATCTTTTAGTCCCAGTGTAGATAGTTTACCTTTGATCAGACCAGAAAAAAAATGAGTCGAAGTATATGTAAAATGACCCGAACACCCCTGACCATTGAACTAAAAAAAACGATCAAGGCTTCAATTTAAATGGCAACCTGGTTTGGGTCCATTCAAATTGAATCTGAGTCCAACCCTAAATTATCCAATACATGAATACAATTGAGCTTAGGTCGAGTGTTTTATACCTTGAATTACTATTGAATTGACCTTTCGAGTTACTCAACTCACATGATTAACTCTTGTTTCAAATCAAGTAGCCTTGAGTCCCATAACCTTAGTCTGCATTTTCGTAATGTAACGACAACGATTAATTGAATAGGTAAATTTAGTTAATAAACTTGATTCAAATAACATTACTGTTGTGACAAAAACATGATAATCGCTTTTTAAGGATGTCTATGCAGAAATATTAGATGTGCACATATGCTTGAATGTTTTATCAACCTTAAATGGTTAATCGTGCACTATCTATATAAGGAGTCATTCGAAAGAGGTGAAGAACCTGGACTGGTCACATGTCAACTTGTATCTAACCTTACTATATTTTGCCAATGATGACAAAGCTACAAAACCCTAAAACAAAGAAAACCACAAGTATATTTCAATTTTGTACTAGCTAGAGCACAAGGGTGAGGTATTTGATGCCCCAAATCTTGCATACTTGGGGGTAGTGAATATGACATTTATCCATGGATGTAAATGGGAAAAATATTGTTAGTCCATCATTACCGACTAACATTTGTAAGAGGGTGTTGATTTATTTGATGCGTATACAATTGTACTGTCGTTTTTCTTGTAGGCAAATAATCGCAATAATACGGGATTAGAACAGTTCTTTCACATTAAAAAAATGAAAAAGACTGAAACAAAGACTTATGTTAATAGGATAATGATAAAGTTTTATGGCACAATGTTTTAGCAAGCATGTCATAACCAATATGAAAGAGATTTATGAAAAAGCTATGCTCGTTGTGGGTGAAAGGAATTATGGAAGAAGTAAATGATAGACAATTTTAAACCCCAATTCAAAAATTATAGTTTCGTAACAAGACTTCCAATGGATTGATAATTTCCAAACAAGACTTACAATGCATATCATTTAGACAAATGAACACGAAAAACTGTTTTGGGGGGGGGGGGGGGGGGGTTGGGGTTCAAGTAATTTAAAACACTGGTTGTGATGGACGGTGACAACCTGTCTGTATCAGATTATTGGTCACATATGTTAATGTTCAGAGATGTGAAGGGTTGTAAAGTCAATTAAAATTAAACATTCTGAGATTTTTTTGGGGGAAATTTGGACACGAATGTGGTCCCTAACTACATCTAATAGTCATTGTCATGGAAATTAAGTGAAAACTTTCCATCAAGTTGAAAAGATTTTGCTAACTTGATGTTAAGGGCCCCTCAAAAGTGTATGGTGACGCAAGTGTTTATTAACTTTTTTTTATTTTCAACAGTAGTGGATGCGTTCGTATTAATTTACGTATATTTTGATTAATTTCATTTTTAATCCGATTAAATATAAGTCATTTACACTTGGATTAAGGTATTTATGAAGAATAATTCTCTCATAACATGACCCTAACGAGTTACCAAGATTTTAATTCAAAACGTCTGAATTTACAGCTCGTCTCTCTCACTACTTTAATTAACTTTGGTGTTGTTTATTGACTTATTTGATTCCTTTGAACAGATACTAATTGTTTTATTTGAGGTTTTGTCTCAAGTATCAAACTTTCCTTTTACTCTTCAATCGAATGGTGTTAATAGTAAAATCCTTCAAAAGACAATTACTATACGATATGGTATAAAAAGTGTTTTCCAGAAACTCGAAATGGGTTTGCCTGTACCTAGATCACGAAAGTTAATTGGCTTCTTCAATTTGCCTGAATTCGGTCAATTCAGTGGCGATGACCATCAAAACCCCTAGTAGTTTAACTACTTAATTAATTTTTTTTAAACAGCCATTGCTTATTTAGTTGAGACAAAAAAAAAAAAAAGAATACAAACAAATAAGAAAATATTATCATCTCCAAGTGCAAACAACAATTATTCAGTTTTTTCTATAAACCAACCAAAAACAAACATGAATCCCCCGGTGCACAACAAAAGTCATATCAATAAAAACACTTCTCATAACTATTTTCAGAACAAACAAGACAAAACAAAATCCATTTAATTTAGAAAAATACACACACACACACACACACAAATAAGACTTATAATTGAGTCGAACTACTCGGACTAGGTTTGGATTCGATTTGTTTTAGGCTCGATTTTGACTCACAAAACTCTATACATTTTTTTAGTCTCCTTTTAACTTGTAAAGTTCAGCTCAATTATCAGCTTGAACAATTTTTAAGGTTCATTTAAAAAAAATGGGCCTAAATGACTCGATTCGAACTCGTAAAACTCAGTTCGTTTATATATAGAATAGTCGAATTAATTATGTTCAGCTCGGACTCAACTCATTTTAGGCTCTTAAAAAAATGAGCAAGCTCGATTTGATTACCAACCCTACACAAATATGGACAACTATGAGTTTAGATTAAGTTGTATTACTACTTTGTTCATATAATCATAGAATTTAGATTGCTTAACATTAACCCAAATGAGACGTACCATATTTCAATGACTCTTCATCAATACTCGATGGGTGCCCCAACAATTAAGGAACAAAGTGCGATCGTAATCCATCAACTTGTTACTATTTCAGAAAACAATTAATTGCGAAGTCAACTAGAAATTGTTCCTAATTCCCATTAATGCCTCCATACAAAAGACTTTCAAGGTTTCAAACTAGAATGGTACACATTGCTAAAGAAAATTTTGAAGCATCTTTCAAACCAAGTTTTTTGTTTTTTGTTTTTTTTTTGGGTTTAATGCTCAGAGATATTTAAGTCGGTTTACGCGCACCTTAATTAATTTTTCTCCCTAGTCTGGTCAATAACAAGTCATTTATATCGGAACAAAGATATTCATAAAGAATAAATCCTTCATAACTTAACATTAATGGGTTACTAAAATTCGAACTTAAGATGTCTAAGTTTTTAGCTCGTCTCTGTTATTATTTGAACTACCCTTTTAAATTTTTTATATAAGTTTTACATGATTGCCATTCAAGTAAATTATGTTACATAGGGCATTACAAAAAATTAGAAGACGTGCGCCATGGATGTTGGAAATAATTTTGTTTTAATAACTAAGAATCATTTTAATCACGTATCTTACACCAGTGATTGCAACAAAAACACAAAATATACAAAATCATCCACATATTGTTTACATCGGGTCAATCATAACGGCCACTAAAACTCGAACTCGTGCTCTCGAAATATTGAAATTAATATACATATTAAACCTTTGACGTTGACCTCCCAACCAACAACCTAAAATCATATCATTATGTGTTCACATTTGTTAAACAATTATTTTCAAAGATAGTAATTGAAACTGGATTGACAATTTATATCATTAAAAAATATGTATAAGCTTTTTTCATTATTATTATTATTATTATTATTATTTATTATGTGGTTCTACATATGCTAAAGTTTTTAAATAATTAATTACTATACCTCGTATTACCACCATATGACATTGCTTCTGTCCTTTTGTCATTCATATTCTCTGTGCCCCACCCATCGTTACCATTATTACAATGTTGACTATGTTTATTGCAATTAGGAACGGAGTTAGGATTTAACAAAATTCAAGATTTACGAATAATTGCATTGAGTGAGAGAGGATTCATCATTCAAATAGGGTAAAACCCCATCGGGTGGACGGGGAGCAAGGCTCCCCTGGTTGCAACCGTGGTAGACAATTTACTAATTGCGAATATTATGTGCATCAAATGAGTGTTGGCCGTTGGATTATTGGGTTCACTGTTAATCTAACGGTTAACAATCATTTTGTGCACATAACATTACTCTTTATAGATAAATCGTGTATTGTTAATAGCTTATCTTATACATTGACTATCTCAATTATAATTTCAATCTCACTATGTTCCTAGCTAAGCTTGTAGTATTGTCCCCTTGTTTGTTTAAATTGATTTATTTTGTCCCAAAGTGAAAACCCATCATGTATTAAACAAAAAAACTGTTAAATTAGGGATAAAACGCACGTTTCTAATATTTCCAATCGATGTACTATGAAATAGACAAACTACAGTTGAAAGTATAGTATGAGAAATTTGATAATTAAGAAGACAATATTGAATCAATAATCATAGTTAGAGTCGCATTATAAAAATGTAATAGTTAAGCAAATATGTAAGAAGAGGAATATAAATAAATAATTACCTCCCAAACAAAATTTACACTAAAAAATTGAACTCTTGCTAGTCACCAGTCACAAGAAGATTCATTCTGTTCATGATGGTTGGATTGAACTGAGGCCATCATGAACAGAATTTAGAGGATTGATCTTTCAATCTTGGAGTAGAAGCAAACCCAACTTTCATAAGTCCCAGATCTGGTCAGATCAGGCATTTTCAGCCCAAGCACAATAGCCAACTTTCATAAGATTCTGATTCTTCTTCATGTAAACTGTCAACATGAAGTTAGTGGCTGGTTTAATAACTATTAGTTTTGTTGTTGGATCTTAAAGTTGCGGGTTGAAACTTTGTCGTTTTCCTCCCTTGTAATAGTGTCTGACTAACAAAAAAAAATTTGTTAGCCGATAATTGCAAGTTCATTTCCCATTCCCCTTTCTCTCCCAACCAAATTCATCATACATGAACTCTTAAAGGTGGTTCAATGGTTGAGTCTGGATTTTGATAATTAGAAGTCTCAAATTCAATCTCTTCTCATACTCTCCTAAGGGCTAATTACTTTTGTCCCTTTTAGAGACGTGCTCTAACTTAACTCAAGTCACGGTAGTCAAACTTGAAACTTGAGGAAGTAGTTAACGCAAATTTAAACACTTTGTAATCCAAAAAAAATCATACGTGGATCTCTATAAATTAAAAATCTTCTTCATTCAAATTCAAAAAAAATCAAACCGAAAACCATTTAATTCTAAAACAAATCCTATAATACTACATCAATACATAAACAAAATAAATATTTTTCTTCCAACAATACTAATTAAATGAATTGTTTGCGATTAATGTTGATCAAAGTTATTTATTATTTATGTTAATTAATTATATCAAATTATATTCTATAGAACCCCTTAGATAGATACCAAGGAGATTGCAAGGACAAACATGTAAATTCACGTACGTCAGTTTTAAAACCGTGGGGATCCGCAGTTTGTCCGTACATGCCCAAACCCCTTGCGGCGGAATTTTTCACTCAAATCCCAAGGGCGATTTTCGTCCACGAATGTTGGGCTTTCAACCAAACTACGTGCCTATCCTAACAAAAAGCCCTCACTTTTCGGGGAAATAACGAAAACGTCCTCGAATAACTGTTTGCCCAAATTGCCCCATCTGTGTGGTCCCCACTTCAATCTACATACCCCCACAAACTATGCATTCAGATTCAAATCCTCCACATTATAATTTTTTTTTCAATTTTATTTAATAATAGATTATTGGGACTCACTAATAAATAGTGGTTGTCATTTGTATTAATGATAGATAATTTAACATTCAGTTAAAAATGTAATAGAAAGGATATAGATCTTCGTGTACCCAAAAAAATGGTTAAACTTAATGATGCACAAAACATATTTATGGAAGATCAACAGTCGAGTGTGCGATAAAGTATGATCAATGGACAATTAATAGAGCAATCAATGATAATAATGTAAATATCAAATCGGCACACAGTTATATAATGGTTTGGTTCGGATGACCTACTCCACTCTGAGAAACAACAATGGTGGCGAGGGGCATTTATTGATAAAATAAGGTGAACGAGAAAGAGAGAGTAATGATTAGAATCAGGAGGGATACTATAGGTAGGAGAGAGAAAATTTGTGTGGAGTGTGTAGAAAGATGTAGAGATAGATTAAGAGGTGTTCTCTCATGCAAAGAGAACTTACAATTTATAAACACAAAGCCTTGGTTAAGGCAGTGACATGACGGCATATGTACTAATTTTTCGGGTAGCTAATAAAGGTAAGTGTCATAAGAAGTTGCCTTGATCTTCGAAAATGAGTATTCCGATAATTATTCCCCACGTGTTCTAATTATTCTTGAATTCCTTGGATCTTGAGCTGAGTCGAATTCACAAAGTGGATTTCACTTGTTTTTTACTTGATTTATTGGGTCTGGCCCAGTAAAATTTGGGCTCTTCAAAATTGAGTCAATAATATCACGTGGTGTACTAGTTCAATAATAAGACAATAAATAAAAAAAATAGTTAATGTGACGATGTTACTACTTTATCAATAACACCAAATAATGATAATATTATGCGAGTAGTAGATCCCATTATTTTATTAACTTTCAATAACCAAGAATCACTATGCTGAATAACTAATACCTTAAAAATTTAAGTAGTCGAGTTCATTTATCCCACATTGTAAAAAATTTTGTGGTTGTGGCGGCATTCAATAGCTGCAAGGAGTACTTGAGACGGCATTATGATGTTGCAAAAAACATTAGTGGTGGAAACTAATAGTGGTGTCGCATTTTTATTTGCGATAGACAAACTAACAGTGATTTAATTTATTGAAATTTAATGCAGCCTGTAGATTTGCAATTGTCACCAGCTTTGTTATCCTTATATTTCCTTTCTTTCTTTTTCCTGCAAATTCTTCCGCTTGTTTGCAGTTAGTGATGAAAAAGAAAGGTTCACCAATTGTAGCTCTCTGTTTGGCCATGGTACTACTTTTCTTCCTTTCCGGTATCACTCTCAATTTCTATGGATCATACACATCATATTCAACAAAAACAAGAGGTATGAACATGCAAATTGTCAAAGTTTAATAATCTTTTATAAAAAAATATAAATAAATTTGAATCCCTTTTGGACTAAGTTACAACTTCAGTGGTAACATGCTATCAATTCTAAAAATGTTGCAATTGATCGCAAGTTATCACAAAAATAATAAAAATAACCCTCGAAAGTTACAAAAAAATCTATAAAATTTGTCATAGTAATACGGTACCATTTTTTTTTTAATCGTAAACTTGCCCCAGTAATTCTTGTGGTTGTGCAATGATGTTTTTAAAATCATCGAATTTCAAAAACATGATGTATTTGTTTAGATAAATAACACATGATCATAGTCATAATTAAGAGCGTCAAAATATAATTTTTCATGTAAGTTTACATTATTTTGGTTTTTTTTTTTTGGTATATTTATGATTCATATTCTCGTAATTGCAGAATCAAAAATTTTGGAACTAAAATCGGTGGGCCAGCCTAGTCAAATCAGCTGCGATCGGTCTCACGACAATTACGATATTTGCTCAATCAACGGTTCAACTGTTCTGGACCCCACATCACAGACCTTTTTTGTTTCGGGCCCACCTGATAGCTCACTTTGTTGGAAAGGGTCCGGCCCCACCCCCGGAAATTGGACAAAATCACAATGGCCCTAACTGAAGTTATTATGGTGCAAAGCCCAATAAGCCCACCATGTACAGTCCAACACAAAGCCCCAACATTAGTATTCACTGTTTCTCAGTACACCCAAAACTTCTTCCATGACTCCATCGATGCTTTCATCCTCCTATTCATCACCGTCAACTTGATCTTACACGATCAAGATGTCGTCCTCATGATCTTAAAATTGCATAATTGGTGGATAAATAAGTACGTAAATTTATTTTGTTGTTTCACCAAGCATTCGATAACAAACTTTGAGAACGACAATTATACCACCCCTTGTTTTCCTTAGGCCAGGGTAGGCCTCATTTTCACATGGTTACATTACCATAGACCCAAAATTGGTACCTAACTTGACAGGTTTCATTCATTTTCATGAGTTGCTAGAAACAACCTATGGCCACAAGGCTCACAACCATTCCTCTATTTCTCTACCTTGGAAAGGTCGGTGGCCACGCCTTGTATTGACTAGTCATAAAATTAGCATCGGATGTGTGATTTTGAACCAGGATGAAGCAGCAAAAGAGGTTGGTTTTGTGGTTATTGTATTCGAGCCAACACTCAACACCCCTTTGCGCGAATCATGCGCATTAATGCACTCAACCCATGTCATAGTTGGAGTGCATGGTGCTGCACTAACACACTCACTGTTTCTCTGCCCGGGGTCGGTATTCGTGCAAGTCGTCCCGATCGGAGTCGAAAGGGAGAGTGATATTTTCTTTGGGAAGTCAGCAAGGGAGTTGGGGTTGGAGTACACGGAGTGTAAGATTGGAGTAGGGGAAAGCAGCTTGTTATAGAAGTATGGCAAGCACGACTTTGGGTTAAAAGGCCCAATGGTTTTTCAGAAAAGGGTATGGTCCAGTGATAATTTGGGCTCAGTGAAGTGTTTATGGACAGAGATGGATAGTTTTGTGGAATGAGTTGTCATTTTTGTAGGAAAATAAAATCCTAAACATGGTATTTTTTATTCAATGATATAGTTCAAGAGTAAAATAAAACATGGTAAGTTCGATAATATTACATCATCAATGTTACGTGTTGTCAACAAATAGTTTGAAGGTTCTACAATTTTAATAATTACCCAATTAAAATAGTAAGATTCACTAATTTATTTATTAGTTAGTGCGTCTCAATGATTTACATCAAATATTCATGCCATTACTTGATAATGAAAAGTCTTAAATGCTCTAAATAGTGAGGCGGCATAAATTTGAAGTAAATATTTAATATAACAATTTCAACAATACTGTTTTATATAACTTTCTAATAAGAATGTTAAAAATTGAATATAATGAACTCATTTTCTATGCATAGAGATGGTTACAAATGACGATTATTAAATTTTATGGGGCTCATTTATCTATTTATCAGGGGTAATACGTATATGAAGATACAATATAATGTAAATGGTTTAAGAGGGATGTTAGTGGTTATTTGAAAAGTCTATTTGAGATCATTAGATAATCTTATCGAAGACTGTCCTATTTTATATTATGTTATAAATTCCCTTATTAACAGACAATTAGACGATACCGATGAAACGGTGTAACCGTTAAGAGTAATGATATGTATTTCAAATTTGTAATTTAAATTTATATTCCAAATCAAGAAGGACCATTTGATCAGTGAATCTCATAAAATTTTTTAAATGGAACTCATTACTCCAATGATCCTTCTTGATTTAAAATATAAATTTAAGATATATAGCACTACTTACGGTTAAAGTGATTTTTTTCTCCATAAATATGTCCCAAACTCCTAAAAAAGTCTAATAAGTTCATGGATTCTTGAGACGACGTCGTTAATGGGCCATTGCTGCTTACTGGTTAGTGCCACTCTCGACCTTCAGTCGCATTACTGCTGTCAAACGCCTGACGGCCTGAGAGTCGCAGTAACAGCCATCGAATGCAGCCGTGAGTAAACGCAAGTAGAGGGCACGAAGAAAATGGCGACTTCGGGAGATTTGAGAGTCTCTGCAGCGCTGGTTACTCATCCTACGAACCCCATTCGAAGCTCTTTGCCCCCTTCGAAGGTTCGAACTATTTCCCCTTTTTGTTTCTGAGTTATAATTTTCATAACATACAGCTCTCTAACTCTGATTTCATTTGGGTTTCTTTATGTTATCAGATTGCGTTTTAAGTTTTGGGTTTCGTGAGAATCGATCCACATCTGCGTATTTTCTGTTCAAATTGATTTGTTGGGGACATTGGATTCGATAAATAGATAATTATATTCCCAGATAACTTCAGCTTTGCTTCGTGTCGTGTGATTTGGGTTGATGGGTTGTTCATGGTTCTCTACTTTTGGGTTTCAGAGGGTTGAAAATGAGCTTCCAAGATTGTGGGTTTATCATGAGCTAACCATCTTGCATCTGCACTTGAGTAAACATGGATGTTTGATCATTATTAGTGGAAATTGATGCCTGCAATATACTCGTAATAACTAGAATAGGTTGTAGGCTTGTAGCAAGAGTTCAAATGAATGATTTTTATCTTATTTTTAGGGTTAGTTTTGAGTTCAGGAGTTATTTGAAATTGATGATTATCTCCAACAAGTTCAGGTTTACCTTATAGAAACACAGAGTGTACTATATCTTGGATGCTATGAGAAGTGATCAAGATCAAGTTCATATGTTTTACACTTGTGGGTTGAGGGCTTCCCCCAAGATGTGCGATTAATTTGCTTATGTTGTGAATCCTCTTTGATGGTCATATCAAAATGTGGCTTTGATTTGCGATTGCTTGCTCATTGGACCTTCTCATGTTTGGGAGTTGAATTTGATTTGAATGCTTTGTGAATCAGTCACCTTCTCTTCCCCCTCGCTTTGTTTAGTTCAGGGGTGTGGTGTGGGAAAGGAGAAGAAAATGTCAAGGAAATCATTTTATCTTGTTGAGTTGCCATGGAAAATAAGAGGGCAGATATTAAATGAGGGGAAAGATTTATTTTTTTATTCAACTTGCCATTTCATTTCCTTTTCATGAATTGCAATCCAATTCGAGAAACTTTTAATTTCCATTTTTTTTTTTGAACTAGCAGAAACACGCTAGGGTATTTGTCTTTCCTTTACATGTACCATTTCCTTTTTCATTTCCTTTCCTTCACTAATCTGCAAACCAAACAGAGCACCGATTAGGTGATATTCTATCTAACATACCCAGTGGAAAAATAAACTACCTTGGTAACTATGTTTGATTGCGTGGTATTTTGTTTAGCTTTTGATACAAGACTGGCATTTGTCAAAAAGAGAATTGATTCAGTTTTTGTTATGTAGACTGTTTCGAAACTGTAAGTGCTTCAAATGCATGCATTCATGTTGAATTGCTTTTCTTCATTGACATCTGATCCTTGACCTTTTGATATATTAAGCTTCCAGTTTCCTTCCTTTCTTGGGACTTGGGAGTGTCTTACTTCAATTTATGCCCTCTTGACTTTATCTTTGCAAAGCACCGGCTGCCCATACTTGCGCAGCAAGTGTTCACATGTTTCTATAGCTGTGAGAACATTTTCTAGTGTTACTCCTAGGGGTGCTGGGAGGGGTGGACAGAATACAGCACCTCTTGGTATTATATGCATGAAATTACTGCCTCATACTTGTCTATATGAGTAGCCCGGTACATGAGACTCTTGCCACAGCGGAACCACTGCAGAAGTGTCAGATGTATGCAGCTTTGCGCCACATGGAAAAAGACTATTTCTACAACTCAAACCCTTGATGCACCGGTTACACTAAAGCAACCTTACCGTTGTGCCAAGACCCACCCTGAAAATTCGTTCCATAAAGCCTGTAACCAGAGTATTTGGGACTATGGTCTGCTTTTGGCTTATTATACCGATAGGATAGTTTGTTTCTATTTTGTTTCTACTCTCTTGCTATGTTTTTTGAAAAATTATAGAACAAAGTCTATGAGTGGATGCTTCATATGTAATGCAACCTTTTATTGTCTCTATGGGAAGGTGTGTATCTTGAAATTTTGTTTTAGACAAAATAAACATCACTAAAGTTTACCTGAGAATATAATGAGGTTATAAACCAAGTTGGTTCCACAGTGTGTGTGTGTGTGTTGTTGTTTTTTGGTGGGGTGTGGGGGGGGGGGGGGGGACGACTGGACTTGGCACCCCCAATTAAGGAATCTAAAAATATGACAAACAAAAAAATTCATTGGATTTTTAAAAGATAATCCGTGAATAATCAAACCATGTACATATCTATTCTTCTGAGAATGATTTGGCTCCGTCATCTCCGTCTCCGTCTTCAACTTCCCTTTGAAAATCAACACAAATGTGAGAGAAAATGCATTTCACGTGCTAGGGAATTCGAAATAAAATTTATTGAGGTGGTTTGTCAAATCAAAATGTAAAGAGTTTCACTGCCATGTAATTGTTCCATCAGTTTTACAAAATGCATGTTTAAGTGTGGTTTGTGCTGCATTGCAGGTGGAGTATAGTCGTTTCCTTAATGGAGCATCTAGTGTTTCTGAATTCATGCCCAGATGGTCCCGTGCACTACTGGATGGTAATAGCATCCGCTGCCATTCAAAACGACCTCTTGGGATCACTGCAGAAGATAAAATGTCGAGAAATTCCATTAGTCAGGAAGCTGAGAGATTCCTTCTTGATGCCATTAACCTGAGCTTCTTCGATCGTTTGAACTTGGCTTGGAAGATAATGTTCCCATCTCCTACATCAATAAGGAACTCCAATGCAATGGTTGCCAAGCAACGGTTGAAGATGATTCTCTTCTCTGATCGATGTGCAGTTAGTGATGAAGCAAAACAGAAGATAGTGAGCAACATTGTGAGAGCTCTATCAGATTTTGTGGAGATAGAATCACAAGATAAAGTTCAACTGTGTGTGTCTACAGATTCAGGCCTCGGTACTGTTTACTCTGTCACAGTACCTGTCCGGCGGGTGAGACCAGAGTACCAAGCTGAGGAAGAAATTGGAGCCATAACAAACATCGAGTATAAAGGTGCTGGAGAAAGTTCTGGTTCTGTTGATGTCAAGTTTGATTTCTATGTTCCAAATGAAAAGTTCAACGATTTTAGCGTGTGACTACTTCGTAGTTGCATGGTAGTGAGTGGTGATGCTCCTTCTAACTGTTTGGACTTGATAGTCTTGTAGATATTTCAATTTCTTATAGGTGGTTGAAGAATTTTACAAAGGTAAATGTGCCTCTTTATGTGAATGTCTTCAACTCTACAATGTTTCCTATTGGCCATCGTAGTCCGCCGTTGGAATTTTAGGTCGCGGGTTCAAACTTTACCGCCAGTCCCTTCCTTGGTAAAAGTTTTCAATATATATATATATAAAGTGGATGGTTAGCAAAATTTTGCGTTTTTTTTAATAATAAGGGTGTTCAAATTTTTGATTATCCATAAATTTTGATCCTATTTTACCTTACCCGATTTTATTGATCGGTTACTCGAAAGAATCGAGTAGGCCAATGGAAGATCTTTTTATATTTCGCAAAAAATCATATAGGAATGTGGAATACCGACAAAATTTTTATATTTCTACTCTATATATATATATATATATATATATATTTGGGTAGGTCTTGTCTTTATAGAAATATTATTTTCATTAAATTCCTTAATATAAGAAAGTGTTGCAACATGCTTTTTTTTTTTATTCCAAAAAGTAGTAGGAATAGTATCACAAATTTCTTTTGTTATTTTACTTTCCAATTCTTTTAATATTATTTTAAACTCATTAGTTTCCATTCATTGAGATATATTGACTTCTTGTTGTAAGAAGTTTATTTGATTTTTTTTGTAAATCAAATTTTTTTTATTTGGTTTATCATTTTAATTTGAGGTGGAGTTATAAACTCAAATAATATTTTTTGACCTTATATGGTAGTTAAAATTCCTTTGGAATTAGTTCTATTTCTTCCAATTTTTTACATAATTTTTCTTATGTTTATTTCCTATTTTAAATAAGTTCAATGCCATCTTTCTTTTTCAAAAAAGTTTCTGTTAATATATATGTTTCATTATTACTTTCATATTGCTATTGTAATTCATCTTTTAATTCTGCTATAGTAATGCTACAGTGATTTTCTAATACAGTAATCTTTTTTCTTCTTTCTACTCTTGCTGTCAACGATTTACTGGGACCACAAAAACGATCTCGCTCCTATTTCTCAGACATGGCCTAATGTCCCTACATGACTTGGGTGTAGATCCATAGAAATTAAAAAAAATAGCATTATAACAAAACTATAGTAACAAATGCAAAGTAACATTAGCATAACATAATTACACCATAATTACTTAAGCAACATGAGTAAGATGGCTCTGATACCAAAAATAGAGGATCGATGCACAAATATTAGCAAATACTTTTATTTAAATCAAACAAACTTACAGAGTTTTACTTACAGAGGAGAAGACAAGGAGAAAAAGTAGAAAAAGGAGGAGAAAAAAGGAGGAGTTTCTTTACAAGGGCAGGAGAGAGAGAGAAGAGTTTGAAGGGCGTGTCCAACAGATTGGCCAGACACCCTTTAAATACAGGTGGACTTAAAGTCTGGCTTTCAAAAATTTTACTATTTATAACTTCATACTGTTCATGACGTCATTGCATACGCCATCTTTACTATTTATGACGTCACTACTTGCGTCATTATCTACGTCATTGTGCGCGATGATTTTCACACAATAGATGTAATAGGAACAGATCTCTCCTCTGGTGAACTCATGTTTGTCGATGTGGTGGATTCCGCAGCAAGGAATGAGTTGAGAGGGCTAAAGGGGGCCTAAAGAGTGGTGATGAATTACTCTTAGGACTATCCGATTGATCTTAGGGGATGGCAGATCGTTCCTGACACACAGAAAATAAGTTATAAGGGCATCAGAGTGTTTTTCGGTGTATCCCCTTCAACGATAAAATCAGGTCTTTGAGAGAGGGTAAGAAGAAAGCACTGTATTGCTCTTGAGGGGTGAATTTGCGCACCTTTGCTTCACATTTTTGGGAGCTACTTATACCCTTAAAGGCTCATCATTGCTGATGATCTAGACAGTAGGTAATGATCAGACATGGAAGAATGTGCTTCCTATTGTGCATGGAGAGGCCCCCATCATTGATTGCTCGGGCTCCCGAAGTTAATGGTCTTTCTTCAATGCGAAGACTTTAAATGCTCGGAGCCCAGAGCATTTAATACTCTATATCCCCTGCTCCCCAAGCTACTGTGGATGTCCCATAACTGAGGATTCATTAAATGCTTGCCTGGAATGGCCGTAAATCAGCAGGGATAGTTCTGTCTTTTTACCCCTTATTCTGCACCTTATGCCACACGTCTGACTCCCTCTGGTTAAGTGTCCAATTTGTTATGCTATTTTGACTTCATAGTGCAGAGTGCCCTCCTGACTCCTAGTTTAGTTTAAACTGTTCAACTATCAATTAGTAACCTTTCTAGAAGCCGAAGACTTGTGGCAAGATCGGAGTTTGTGAGTACCCTCGGGGCCACTTGACTACCCCCGAGTGGAGGTAACCTCAGAGCCGAGGGCACATGCCTTGGTGCCGAGGAACATGTCATTGTTAGAGCAGGGGTCTCGGTGCCGAGGACACACGTCGTTGATCTAACACCCTCCTAGAAGTGTCCCATCAATTGCCTCCAGCCCTTTGATCTTCGTATGGAAAGGACACGTGTCGTCGAAAGGTGAAAGGGCTCAACTGCCTCATCATTGCCTCAGCCATTTTTTGCCTTTTGGAGATCGTGAGCATTGAATGCGTCTGTCTTCGTGTATCATGTACAATGATGGGTACATAGGCCCTATATAAACAGAGCATCCTCCCCCCATTTTCACTTTTCGAACCCTTGAGCTTTCCTTTAGAGATTTCGTCGCCGGAGAATCGTAGGAGTCTTGCTGCCTGAAGAACCACAATCCCCTTTTTCTGCCATCATCAAAGGAGAAAAAGCTTTCTCAAGCTCTCTCAATCTCTCAGTTCATCTTCCTAGTATTTTTCGATGAGTCTTCAACCCTTTTACTTCTCTTTTCTTCCTTTTTCATTTTCCTGGCGACCGGTCACCATCCAGACCCCCATTGTCTTTGTTCTGAGAAACCAGAGACCCCAAGATAGTCCCTTTGAATTTCCCTTCTTCATCGCCTCACATCTCGTAGTGTCCCTTAGGATCCCCACCTTAGAGAAAGAACCCTTTGAACCCTTTACTTTCTTTTGGAAGAGATGCCAAGACATTGCCCTGTCGCCGAGGTCCAAGAGGCTAGGACCTCTAAGCCGAGGAAATGGATAGTGAAGGGTTCCCAACAAATAACAAACTTCAAAGCCCATTATGACATCCCCTATAGTGTCGTCGACGATTTTGACCCAGCTTGCCATCTCCACGACGTCGGTCTTGAGGTCGCTATGCCTTTTTACACTAAGGCAATTATGGAGGGTGGGATCAAATTCCCCCTCCATTCATTGTTTCTCCAATTTCTTTTTAGGTTCTGCCTCTTCCCAGGGCAGTGTACTATCAACACTTTTATAATAATAATGGGCGTGGTGGAGCACAATAGGCGCCTCGGGGTCAACCTAGGCCTCGAGGATATCCTCTTCTATTACTTCTTGCTGAGAGTCAGCAAACCTTCTACCTCAAAGCCTGGAACACCTTAATGTACCTTGACACCCACCTTCCTGATTCTGACAAGGGGTACAAGGATGACCTATTGGTCTTCAGCGGCGCCTGCGAGAGGGGAGTCAACCCCGAGTACGACGGTTTGTCTTGCCCCAAGGAGTGGCAAAGAACAAGTACGCCGACTTCTTCCTCTCTTCTCGTTTTTTTAGCTTTCTGATGTTAAAGTACAAGTGTTGACGATCTTCTTTCTTTTGTATAGACGTTTCCTCTCGAGAAGCTGCTCCCTCACCTTGACACCTGGTGAATTTTGATGATCTCGTCACGATCTGGGGATACATTGGAGAAGGATTTGGCCGAGCGAGTTACATACTCTTGGGCTACACCCTAGGATACAAAAAATTTTCCCCACTGTCCCAACCCTACAATCCATCAAGGTGGTCAGAACTCTTCCAGTATAACTCAGGGGAGGAATTGGACCAAGACTTAGAGGGAGATCTTGACAGGGCCAAAGAGGTCGCCGAGGGCGGTGAAGAACAAGAGGCCAAAGTTAGGGAGCCTGCCGCCATAGTACAAGCCGAGGCCAGTACTTTTGGGAGGGATACTTGGCCGGATTTCAACATTCTCTAGAGCCTGGACTAGGAGGACACATTAGAAGTAGCGATGTCCCACCAGCCTCACATCGATCTCAATTTTTTGAATAGGAGGTCCGCTCTAAGGGTTAGGGGGTCCTCTAGCAATGTCCCTCCACCCCCTCCAAGGGTTAACATCAATGCCTCTCCTTCTCCTCCTATACCACAAAAGTATTCTAGTTTGGGGCTGGTCCGTGATTAGGACCCTCTGATCGAAGAAGAGAGGATGACCAAACAAAGGCATGATGACTAGGTTGAGGTAGGGCCTTCCATCAGAGCAACAACAACAACAAAAACAACAACAACAATAACAACAAAATCAACTCCTCCTCCTCAAACAGCCCATAATGAGGAGTGGCGCCCTTGGGCCCGGCACAGAGAATGTAGGGTGATTCGGGTTGACGACTCGATTCTTCATGATCCTCACGTGGCCTATGTCGTGAACGAAACCCTTCATTTTGCTGCCGACATGGCGGAGCACCGCGAACGGCCAATCAACCAGTTGTTTCGCTCGATTATTCAGCACTCTGTGGTAAGTTTTAACTATTTTTTGTTTGCAACTTCTTTTCCTTGGCATAATCGTTTATCTTTCCTTTCAACAAGCTACCTAGCAAGTGTCGGTCATTGCTGCACATTACCATGAGCAGAGACGAAATCTCTAGCAAGCCAAGAGGGGGAAGGCCGAGGCCAAAATGGCCCTTGCTATGACCAGGGAGGACGTGGCCACCTGGGACAATACACTGTCCACCCAGGCGGCCCAGATTGAGTAGTTGCTGATGGAAAGCGAGGCGGCGAGGGTAAGCGTTAAAAAGTTGAGTGCTGCCCTTGCCGATGCTGAAAGAAAAATAATTGAAGCGACACAGCGTCTCTCTGTAGTAGAGGCTAAGGTAGAGGAGTCAGAGCAGACCTGCTCCACTTTTACCTAGACGTTGGATAAGGTCAAGGTCGAGACAGAGGCGACCAAGAAGTCAAAGGAGCAAATATGAAATGAATGTGCTGATGATGTCCTCGTCACCCTTAAGGAGAACAAAAAAGAATTCTTCAAGAAGGGCTGGGATGAGGCACTCCGAGAGGTGGGGGTTCCTCCTGAATCC